ATAGAAACGTAATGTAAATCATTGATTACATTACACTTGCCTTAGATCAGCTTGCCTTAGAGCTCTGCCTTGCAATCTAAGGCCAACAACATCATCTTAAATCTCAGTAGTTCTTGGCCTACAAATAACTCATCCTAACTGTTTGTATACTATACCATAGTGTGTTAAAGAGCCTTTGAATTCCTACTTTTAAGTCACTCTTAGCTCCTCTCTTTCAGTGCCTTCCTTGCTTAATTTTGTCCCTCTTTTACATGTTCAGGATTGTATGGGTTTGTTAACAAAATTATGTCGTAAATTCCTTTCTAAACTATTTTGGACTAAAAAGCTGCATCTGCTCTGTACTGAAACTAACATGCACTGACACAAACATGCACATGAAGGTGGTCAGACTTTGTCCCCTAGATGATGATAATAAACACCAGCTTGCAGGGTAGTTTATCATTAAATTATTATTATTTTTATTATTACACTGTCTGAATGCTCATTTTCTCCCATCTGCTTTAATTTCCTCCACCTCCTTGTACCCCATTGCCATCTGTTTGTGTGTGTATACATTTGTGTGTTTGTGCAAATTCCAGGTACGGACACGAGACCTTGGCGGATACTGTACCACTACCGATTTTGTGCATGCTGTTGTGGAAAACCTGCGTCACCGACCCATTTACTAAGATATTTCATCATAGACCTCGCTGACTGACTCCTTTTTCCCTAAATCTGGACGTTGTTCTTAACATGGTCTGGATGCATGTTAAGACACCCTCCCCACCCACCCACCCCAAATGCCAGCTCACTGAGAGCTGTACTATACATTTCTGACATAAGTTGCATCATAATGACATTAGTTCTGCTGGCTTGCTTGTAGATCCTCTTCCGTTAAGCTTTGACATCTGTTGATTTGGGATTAAAAAGTATACCTCATGATGTTTTGCATCACACAGCTAGACCTCCTGTTTCCTGTATACATGCAGTCTCCTCTGCCCTCACAATCTTTTGTCCATTTGCATCTTTTTGTTTTTGGAGTTTTGAACTGATGAGTTCATAAAGACGATTTCTTCGCACATTGTGGGAAACACCTTTTTTTTTTCCACTTTTATTATTTAAATGTTTCTTCCTGTCGGTCTCGCATTTCATTGAAAACTTGCTGTAAAGCCACCAGAGTTTTAAAAAGTTTGTATCGCCTTTTTTCAGAATTGGTCTAAAAACTAACTCAGTAACAGTACAATGCTGCTACAAATTACTGCACATTTAAATAAAACTGTAATTTCATTATTGCAGCACTATAAATTCAACTATTGGTGCTGGGATTTCCTGTTCACTGTAACCTGGCGTAATTAAAAACATAATTGGCAGCTGTTGGGGAAACTGATATGAAAGATCAGTATCTTTGTGCATCAAAAAAAATTAAATGGCAGCATTAGCTTGCATTAGCCATTCACAATCAAAGTCACCATTGTTGTAGCATGTAGTTTATTAAAAAGAGTTATTTAAGCACATAGCAGAAGAATTTGTTACATGATTATACAGAAATCAGCCATAACATTAAAAACATTAATATTATTTGGATCCTTACTGTGGTGCTGCTCCAAGCGCTGACCATCAGGCTGTGGACATGGGACTTGTCCTGTGGTGTCTGACTTGGATGCTCACAAAGGTTCCTTTGATTTGTTTTGGTGTGATGCAGTGTAGTCAGGGAGAGGCTGCTGCTGTCAGGGAGTGTTGTCACCTTGGAAGGGTGTGCCTCTTCTGTAAAAATGTTGGTGGGAAGCAACAAATAAAACCTCCCAACAAATGCTCTCACAGCACATTGATCAATGTAATTTACATTTTAATTGGTTTTGATGTTTTTGCTGATTGCTGTATGGCATTTCCTGGTTTAGTCTTCTTTTTTCCCCCCACCATAAAGTCAGCACAGTTATAACTGCTACAATAAGGTTCAATCATCCTGTCCATCTCGCTTTTTGGTACCATTTTGCATCAATTTGAAATGGAAGGTTGCTCACCAAAAATAAAAAAAATACTTTTTCAGTATACAGTGTTTGTGTGTTGACCTTTGACCCAAGTTCAAATATCATGTGCCTTTAGCCAGCATTTAAATTTAAGTATTTCAACAAACCAAGAGTTTCACTCATACTGAACAACAACAACGTGATCTTTCCTGGATCATTAAAATACACTGAAATACTGTATATGGTCATTTGATGTGTTTTAAATCCAAACCTGGACTGGTACTTGAAATAATGTGGGGCCAGAAAAAGAGAGGAAAGTTCAACTGATGCTTTTTTTTCTTTTCATATCATCATTCACACTGTGTTCATTCTGTGAGTACTGCTTTCAAAGGCTCTCTAACATGCTGACCGTGATACAGAATGTGGACATGTGTTTCTGCAGCTGTGCATATAATAACGTGCTGTCCTTATGTTTGCAACAGGTGCGCACTGCAGATCTGGGGGGCTATGCAACAAGCAACGAGTTCACCCGTGCTGTCATTGCTAACCTGTCGGTCTGAGCATTATGTTTGCAGATCTGTCAGCTGCTGAATCGCACACATTTTTAATTATCTTCCTGTCTTACACGCTTGTACACACAGTACAGCCCTATCCCCCTACATTCTACACGCAGTGCCCTTCTTATCAGAGCAAAATGCAAATGAAATACATTGTCCACAATCTTTTATTTTTGCTGTTTTACAGTTGATATTCAAACACTTAACGTTGCATCCAATTAAAAAAAATAAGTGGATTGGTGATATTTTTTCTTTTTATTATGGTGCAAAACTTATAATGCTGTTACACTATTTCACACCACTTCCTGACATTCTACTGCCTTGCATGATACTCTAATTTCTACTTAATGATTTTATGTGTGGACATTAACCGGAAGTCAAAACACAACGTATGTATATTTCAATATTAATAAAGTTTTAACTTAATGCTTCTTCATTTATGCTATATGAATAATAAATAAGAAATGGAATATGACATCTTGCGTGCAGAATCCTTGAATGAACATTATGGAGACTAATACGGTGTTATTAAAAGTTTATTATGGCTGATGGCACATGTCACCTCGCATGAGGATCCTAACTCCCTTCCTGTGTCCAAACATATTCATGGTGGTTTTTGGAGAATTTAAATGTTGGTAAAACTGAGTTTTTCTGGCTGTGTTGGGTGTATCATGGGACAGTGTATGCTCCAAGTCCCCAATACCATTAACTAACAGTTCAATATTAAATATATTTTTTGCCTTCATCTATATAAATTATTAATAAATTGTAGGAAATTTTCCAGCTTTCTCTTTACTGCAGAAGGTCGCAAAAGAGTTATTACAGGTCAGTTATGTGACTATTTTCAGAGGAATAGTTTATGGATGAATTTTAGTAATAAATTTAAAGCATAGAAGCAGCACTATAATGATGCTTCCTTATGATCTTCTCACACCCTCAGACAACATCTCTGCCTGGCCTTGTGCTGCTAGATGAGTGCAACATTTCATAACACTGATCACGTGTACCCTGCCTCTTACCTTATGGTAGCCAGGATAGGCTCCAGACATCCCTGCGACCCTGATAAGGATAAGCGGAAGAGGATGGCTGGATGGACTAGAATACACAATTGTGTTTCCAGGAAGTTTTAATTGTAGTTATTTATATATATAAATGATGGTTCTTACACACAAAAGTTAATCACGGAGTTCCACAGGGTTCTGTGCTCGGGCCCAGACTGTTCTCGTTATACATTCTTCACTTTGGAATTAATATTAGAAAATGCTGCATATACAGATGATACCCGATGTTGATACAAATCGTCTGGTTAAACTCCTGGCATGTGTTAAAGATATAAGGGCCAGTAATTTTGTTTTTTCCTCTAGCCCACAGTTTCCTATTGATTATTTTATTAACACATGCTCAAAGAAACACAACAACAGCAAAAAACAATGAAAAATATTTTTTATTAAACTTTCTGAATCTGATGATCATTCCGACTGTTGTAGACAGAAAATGAACTATTTACCCTTTATATGTTACTACTAGTTATTTATTAGTTTCAAAGTGGCTCAGTAAATTATATTTAAAAAATTGTTACCAGTAAAATAAAAATATAATTTAAAATGTATATTATTTTAGTTAGAAAATCAGTTCTCTACCTACTTATCCCTACTAAACCAAGATGTAATACTGAAAACGTCATTAGAAAGGGTAAAAATGTAATAACCTCAGCAAAATAACTTGACTAATAATGAAAGGATAAAAATAATAATAATCTTGCTTATAGGCAAAAGACTATCGCTGGATATATTACTGAATAAAATAGTCTTTAATTGTTTGTTAAAAATAAATTACATGGCTTTCAACAAATTACCTTTTCCTCTATTAAACATGTGGGCCCAACCATCAAACTGACGTCACATTTCTGTAATATTGCCCCTGGAGAGTTGCCTCTATATTGCCTCTTTAAAGAATAATCTGATAATTCCCTT